ATAGCCCTTTTAAACAGTTTTCTCCCTCATCTGTTTCAATGCAGTATACATTATTGAATCCATCTTTCTCAGTCTCTCCCCAACCCCAAGGTCAGTCCTGTTTTACAACAGTGGCACCATGCAGTATTTGTGCTTTTGTGACTGAGATACTTCACTCAGCATAATGTCCTCCAGGGTCACCCATTTTGAATAACACTGCATTAATTACTTGGGTTGTTTCCAACTCCTTGCTATTGTGAACCAAGTCGCAATAAACATGGGTGTGCATCTATCTGCTTGAATGTCAGTTATGGTCTCTTTGGGGTATATTCCCAGTAGTGAAATTGCTGGGTCAAATGGTATCTCTATTTGCAACTTTTTTTTTTTTACGTGTGTACCGTCAAATCGGATCTGACTGGTACAGGAGGCGATTGTTCCTCCTTCTTCAGCAGAGCATCTGGTGGATTTGAACCGTGCACCTCTGGGATTGCAGTGCAGTTTCCTTCAACTAGGCCACCAGAGCTCGCCTATTTGCAACTTTTTGAGAAAGTGCCATACCGCCTTCCATGGTGGTTGCACCAGAATCTGCACTTTCCTGATAAGAAAAGAACTGGTGACCCAGTGGACTAAGCATTGGACTATGAACTAAAAGAAAGGTAGACACTGCAAACTCCCCAGCTGGTCTCAGAACAAAGTCTGCTTCCATCAAGATTTACAGCCTTGGGACTCTTCAGGAGCGGGCCTACTCTATCCTGGAAGGTCTCTGGGTCGGAACTGACTTCACAGCAGGGTGTGGGATAACAAAAAAGCTGAGCAGTTTCTCCTAGAATTACAGGCCATTTGATCTCTTTTTACAAAGTGTATGTCTGAGGCTCTCCCCTATCTTCCTACAGGGACTTGTTACTTTTTCTAATTTATTTTGTAGTCATGTTCCTACACTGTCTTAAGGAGCTCTTTTGATAAAAAGACATTTTGGAGAATTTGCCTTTTCCTAAGGGAGCTGTGGGAGGTGTAGTTCACAGTGAGTTGTGCTGCTCATAAAGGCTGTGGGTCTCTGGCTGTTCAAATTCACTGGTGGTTCTGCAGGAGAGGATCTCCCTTCATTGTGATCTACAACCTCAGAAACCCAATGGTCACTATGAGTCAGCCAGCTATGAACCGGCTAGCTGGCAGTGAGTGACTGTCTTTTCTGTATGGTGGGGTTTTTGTGTCCAGTACAAGAAATCTTTGCTCAGTTTAAGTCACCAAAGTACTGGCCTATACGGCCTTCTGTGTCTTTTTGGTTTATGTCCGTGTTTTTACCTAGATATGCTTACAAGTGTATGTGTGTGTGACATGCAGTCGGGGTGTCTGTCTGCCCTGCTGTGGGTATTCATCCAGCAGCACTCCTTTAATGAAGTGACTGTCCTTTCTCCACTACTCTGCACCACCATCTTTATCACAAATCAAGGGTGAGTTTGTTTTCATGGGCTCTAGGCATGTTGGAGTCAGTGAGACTGGCTCAGGACAGGGCAGGCTCAGAGACGTACACAGGGTCGCTATGAATCACAGGCAACTTGACCACATGTAACAACCAGCACAGATTTTATTCCATTGCTCCACTTAGTTCTCTTCTGCCAGCACCAGGCTTATCTTTTCAGTAAGTCTTGATAACTGGAAAAAATAAATTTTATCTTCTTCTTCTAAATAATGTCTTTACTACGCTTGACTCTTTGTCATTTCCATATAAATTTTAGGTAGCTTTCTTAGTTAACATAAAAACTAAAACTATTATTTTTAACATTAAGTCTTCTAAACGACAGCCATAGTGGTTTTGAGGGTCCAGCTCAGAGCAGCTCTATGAACTGTAACATTCAGCAGCTCGTTGCAACCACTGTGTTAATTCACCTCATTTTGACTTTTTAAAATATATTTATTATTTTTCTATGTGTTTACCGTCAAACTGGATCTGACTGGTACAGAAGATTGCCTCTCCTTCTCCAGCAGAGCATCTGGTGGATTTAAACCACATACCTCTGAGACTGCAGTGCAGTGACTTCTTTTTTGATGACTCTCTTCTCTACCAAGCATGGTGGCTTTTTTCCAGTGATAGGTCCCTACTAGCAACATGTCCAAGCTAAACAAGACGGTCTCCCTGTCCTCATGTCTAAGGAGAAGTACTTCCTCTAAGGCCGATTTGGTCTTTATTCTGGCAGTCCATGGTACAGTCAATATTCTTTGCCAATACTATAATTCAAAAGCACTGACTCTTCAGTTTTCCTTATTTACTGTCCAGCTTTTGGGTGCACGAGGCAACTGAAAATACCGTGGCTTCAATCAAGGGCACCTCAGTACTCAAAGTGGCATTTTCGCTTCCCTTTTTAACACTCTGAGGAAGTCTTCTGTGGCAGATTTGCCCAATGCAATATGTCATTTTATTTCTTGACTGCGGCTTCCATGAGTGTCAACTGGAGAGCTAAATTATGAACTCCTTAACAACTTCTTCACGTATCATGATGATGTTTATTGGGCCAGTTGTAAAGTTTTGCTTACTTTACAGCATGGTATAATTCATACTGACAACTATATAGCCTTTGCTCCTCCTCAATAAATACTTCAAACCCTCTTTGCTTTCAGCAAGCAAGGCTATGCGCTCTCAATATCACAAGCTGTAAGTCAGTCTTCCACCAATCCTGTTGCTATGTAGTTCAGATGCTAGAATGATTTTCTCAGCATACTGACTGGATAAGTACAGGTAAAGGATTCAACCTTTGAATATTTTCAGCCCTGGAGTACAACACTGTAAAGTCTGAATGACTCTATCTTGGTGGTCTATGTACAGGCTCCCATGAGCACAATTAATTGTTTTAGGATTTTCTTTCTTTGCAATTTTATCTGTAATTTGTTAAGATCGACACAGTCAAATGCATCTGCACAGTCAAGAAAATGCTATAGCGGATACCATTTGTTGTTTCTGCATAAACACACTACGTATTGTATAAGAACTAATTCTAGATATTTGCTATTTTGATGCTATAATTAAGTTGTGGTTGGTTTTGGGGGTTTTTTCCCCCATACTGTTGACACAGAGGAAACCAATTCTTTTTAGTGGAGTCTGTACACTGTGATCTTGCTAAACTCTTTTCAACTTCATTAAATTTCTATCTGTAGATTTTCTGACAATCTGGAGACCAGAGAACTACTGCTGTTCTAGGCACCATTGCTGCCTCTACTACAACAGCCTCACGTACACAGGACACCAGACGATGGGCAGACATTGCTTCTCAGCCACAACCACCTCCTTCTCTCCAAATCCAAGCACGAACTTCCAGTCAGAAGGTGGTAAACCACATCTGTAAATGTGGCTGGCAAAAGAACAAGTCAAATAAAGAGACAGGGTTGCATAAGATCTGAAACATGTTACCATAATTTTTAAAAGTGTATTATTAGTATCTGATTAAACAAATAGAATGGAAGTCTAGATATAGATATGAGTATTTACACATTGCCACGGAGTTGAGTCTGACTCAGACCAACCCTCATTGGGGTTCGGATGCTGTAAACCTTTCCTGAAGGAGACTGTTCATCTTTCTTCCACAAAACAGCTGGTGGATCTGAACTGATGACCTTTGTATTATTAGGCCAATTCTAGACAGTGTACTTCCTAGATTTCTTGCTCTATAAGAACCTACTCTCCCACCCCTAAGACTCTGACCTTTAAATAACCTCCAACCCTGAACCATTTAGTGAAACAACAGATAAGCTTAAGAGTTAAATAGTAACACCCACTAGGGAATGTACCTCTCAGGAAAATTAACAATGTGAGAGAGAAGGGCAGCATTTGCCCAAAAACCAAGTTCAGAAGGCAGGAAGGGAGGGGAAGTCAAGAAGGGTGAATGGAAAAGTTACACTGAGGTGACTGCAGATAGTTAATGTAACTAAACAAAAGTGTCTATCAACTGTTGAATGGGAACCTGGTACTACAATAGTGCTCTATAAAAGTTCACCCAAACCTGGTGAGCTCTAGTGGCCGAGTGGCAAGAAGCTCCCTTCTGGAAGTGAGTAGTTCAAATTCACCAGATGCTCTGCTGGAGAAAGAGGGACAATTTCCTCCTATACCAGTCAGATCCAATTTGACGGTACACACACACAAAAAAACAAAATTTTTTAAAAAAAAGTTTACCTACACCACAATATTTACAATTGCTTATTAATGCAGTACAGATTTTTAATAATTTAGTAAATCCCTAACTTGCACAATAGAATACATCAAGCAACAGAATTAAAATTAAATCAAAAGAAGTTCTAAAAATGTTCATTTCTGAGGCAGCCCTGGTGGCTTAGTGGCGAGAAGCTGCGCTGTAATCCACCAGATGCTCTGCTGGAGAAGGAGGGGCAATCTCCTCACGTGGCAGTCGGATCAGACTCCACAGCACACAAAAAGGAAAAGGGGAAAAAAGTTTACTTCTTAAGTGTAAAAACACGTTATAAACTAAGGTAACATAAGACAATCAAATTAGGAAAGAAAAAATATTTATTAAATAAATATTAGAATTTATAAATTCTTAGCTGATGATATGTACTTGGCTAGAAAGTCTTTCACTTTGGATATATGCATCATCTCCTTCATTGTGGTGTCTCTACTTCTCAAATGTATCAATCCGTTCTCCAAAGTGGTGTCCGTCACCAAAACTGTGAAAAGGATACTCATTTCATCATACCTAAGGAAGAAGCGAAAACAGATGCACAAAGGGCATGAGCGAAGATATAAGCCGTAAATACACTCATCATCAGCTTTGTTACAGCATCATCAGAGTCCATGTCATATTCAAAAGTCAGAACTCAAGTGAAGGCCTTGAGGGCTGGACCAAGGAAAACATTTTTTCAAGTTTGGGGAAAAATATTCAAACTTAAGAGAATTTCTAACTGATAAGTAATAAAGCAAAATCTTAAAACAAACACTGATATTTCAACATATAATCTGGAGGGATATTTTGGATAAACTTTATAATATCCTTAGCCTTTTTTGGTACTTGTTAACTAATCATTGTTATTAAGTATCACTGAGTCAAGTGTAACTCATAGTGATCCCATGAACAGCAGATGTGAACCCTGTCCCATCGTGTGCCGTCATTTCTGACACACTGCTGTAGCCACTGTGTCAATCCGTCTTTTTTACTGACTCCCCACCTTTCCAAGTATGATGTCTTTTTCCAAGAAACAGCTTCTCCTACCAACATCCCCAAAGTGTGTGAGAAGAAACTTTACCATCCTTGCCTCCAAGGAGCACTCTGGCTGCACTTTCCCCAAGACATATCTGGTTTTTTTTCTTTAAGCTGACATCATTGTCCTTCAATACTTCAGCGAGGTCCCTGACAGCAGCCTTTCCCAGGGCAATCCATTTTTGACTTCTTGACTGCTGGTACTGATGATGTTGATTATGGATCTGGGCAAGATGAAATCATTGACAAATTCAATCTTCTCTCCATTTATCATGATGTTCCCTACTGGCCTTTGTTTTCTTGATGTTGAAATGTAATTCACATTGCAGACTGTAGTCTTTGCTCTTCTGCAACAAGTGCTTCAAGACCTCCTCATTTTTCGCAAACAAGCTTGTGTTATCTGCATAATGAAGGCTGCTGCTGAGCCTCTCTCTAATCCTGATACCACATTCTTCTTCATAAAGTCCAACTTCTCAAATGATTTGTTCAGACTGAACAGGTATGGAGAGAGGATACAGCCCTGACACATGCCTTTCCTAATGTTAAACCATGCAGTTCCCGTGTTCTGTTCACACAACAGCTTCTTGGTCTTGGTATAAGCACAGTTAAGTATTCTGGTTTCATATAAGCTCAATTGAGTGTTCTGGAATTTCCATTCTCCTCAATGTTAGCCATAGTTTGTTACAATCCACACAAGCAAAAGCTTGTGCACAGTCTGAAACACAAATAGACATTTCTTCTGGTATTTTCTGCTATCAGCCAAGATCTGTCTGACATCAGTAACAATATCCCTGGTGCCACAGCCTATTTTAAACTCAACTAGAACTTCTGACAGTTGTCAGTGTACTGTTCTAGCCACTTTTGGATTCCAGACCGTTTTGGTACTTAGGTAAAATTTTAGATTAAAAGTTCTTTTTATAATCAAGATCCAGTACACAGTAAATCATTATACTGAACTTGTACTTAATTTAAAACCTAATATGGTTTCTAGTTGAGCAATATAATGAATATATCCCCACTGGTCTTTCTTCTTACCTAGTCATGCTACCCATTATCGCTTCCTTTCTTTGTAAAATTCCATCAGAAATATTATTTATCTCCTTATGATCCATCTTGGCCTACTAGAATATGAGCTTCACAAGAACAAAATTGTTCTGTCTTGTTCACGGCAGTGTCCGAAGTACAAAGCAGTAGGTGATTATTAAATACTTGGATAAAATACAGTAGGTATTTACTAAGTGCCTGGTTAAAAATGCCTGAGACATGAACACCTTTATCATATAAAGAACAACTGATTTGATTTGATGATTTGCCACTACTTAGGTGACTCAAAGGATAAGATTTCAAAACCTGAGAGGACTGCAAAGTTCACGTATCACCCTCTCATTTCACACACGGTAAAGCCATTAGATGCTCTATCTGCAGAAACCTACCTTTCTGCTGACATCATCCAAAGAATGTATTTTAACAACAAAGAATTGCAGAGGGCAACACACTTCACAACTTTGACCTTCCAGGTGGGTGATGGTATTATCTCACACTCAGTCTTAGAAAGCACTGAGATGCTGGCAAGGCAGGCCGCTCCAGTCTTGATTTAAAAAAAAAACCAACCCAAAACACCCAACATAGACCATTTTACTCCTGAATAATTTCCAACTTGAATTATACAGGCTTTATGATATAATGCACACTGAATATGCTCAAATGTACCTGCTAAATAAATTTTCTGCTGTATGAATTCTCTAAGGGTACATAATTCTACAAAAGGCACAGTTAAGAATAAAAAGAGTATTTTATATTATCTCAGATATATTTGAAAGAGATGTTTCTGCTATTTACAAGATAAAGTAACCACATAAAAAGAAACTCTGAATAAAGGCATCTTTTCATGACAAGGAAGACTTTTCTTACTTTGCATAAAGTTGCTCCAATGAAGAGGGCACAGTTTCCAAGTAACCAGGCCATACAGAAATTCCATTTTCTAATAATTCATTAAATAATCCTTGACAAACCTAGGGGTAAATACAAAAACAACAAATAAAAGTAGCAAGAGTGATTGCCCTATTATAGTTTCAGCTACAAACCATTTTTTACCAAATTTTGTACCAAAATGGGTATAAATCTCTGTAATTCTGTGATAATAATGTTTACAACTTATCAATTGTGTTAATTCTTCTGAAATTGGAGAAACATAGCAATGTAACCCAATACTAAAAGTCTTCAGAAATTGTTACAATACACATTCAAAACACAAACAAAGCCAAAACAGATCCTAGTAGACAAAAGCAATCGGTGTAAACTTATCAGAGAGACTAGAGTTGAAGCCTAGGGTTCAACTCCATGGTGGGACGAAAAGAGCCAGTAAAGACCACTAAAGAGAAACACGGAAAACTCTGAAGAAAAGAAGAAGCATGGTGTCCCAGAAACCAACTAAGAGTTTCAAGAATGATTAATGGATTGTGTAAATCCTGCTCAAAGCAACCCTACCAGATTTGCAAGATGGAAGGTATCAATGACCTTGACAAGAATAATTTCAGTAGAATGCTGGAGACTAATGCCAGACAGTAAACAGAGACTAAAGAGTAAGTGAAATAACTGTGTCAACCTTGACACTACTGATGGAGGCCATTTAGCACTGTGTCCCTGTTACCTAAAGTGTCTGCAGACATTACCAGGTGTCCCGTAAGAGGGAGAGCGACAGGCCAAAGGGATTGTTACTCAAACTTTATTCAGCACCAGAGTCACTGGGGCACTGGTTTAAAACAGACTGCTTGGCCTCACCTGAGTTTCTGAGTTAGCAGGCCTGAAGTGGAGCCCGAGAATTTACCTTCCCAACAAGGATGCTTTGGGCAGAATATTAAATGATCCAGAAGTATTAAAAGAAGATGGAAGGAATATACTGAGTCACTATATAGAAAAGAATTGGCAGATACAGAGGAATTTAAAGAAATAACATATGAACAAGAGCCTATGGTGATGAAGGAAGAAGTTCAAGCTGCTTTGAAGGAAATAGCAAAAAATAAGGCCCCAGGAATAGATGGTATACCAATTGAAGTATTTC